ATGTAACCCATATGTTTACTATTCTTTACAATTGGTATCATTGCTCCAAAAAATTATTACATATTGCAACTCCATCAAAGTAAATTATACAATTGCACGCTCAATTTGCTCCCTAGAGTAAGAAATCCCCAAGAAACGATTTTGTCGAAATATAATTTTGGGATCATTGGATGATTATTTTCCAACAAATAAAAAGATTTGCATATTTTCAAAATCTGAAAGGTTTTTCAATCATAACGTGTAATATTTTCAAACACTTTTAGAGTGATTTTGCACATTTTCTAGCACTTCTAAAATGCTTTTGAATCTTTTTCTCTCTGTCTCTCTCTCTCTCAACTTCGTTGATAATATGACACACTTTCAATCCCTTGCACAACTTGTTTGCCCGTATGATGACTCTCTTTCTCTCTATCTAAACTTGGTTGCTAGGAGAGGTATGTTGCATGTCCAATATTTGCAATCCTAAAATACTCCTACCCAATGTAGCATAAAACCTTATATATACACTCTATACAATAATTAAATGTTTAAAATGGCTTACATCACACAAAGGAGAGGGGGTGTTGTAGACCTTTCTTTGTGGGAATATTGCATTCATATAGGTGTAGGGAAATACCCTTAAATAAATTTGCAGTGTATTTAAGATAGACTTGCAAAAAATTAAAACAACTCATGTGAGAAAATTATGGAATGATAAATTAGATAAAGATGGGAAAATCCAAGCTCGATTTTAGTAAAGCATAAAGAATCTATGCTCCCATGAGAGCATTTCCTCCATTTTCTCCCTCCAGTAAAAACAAAATCTAGAAAAATTTTAAAACCTCAAATTTTGTGCATGTATTCTCTCAAACTTAGCGACCAATTTCAAGAAAACAAAGAGTAATAAGTGCTAAAAAATGGCGTCCTAAGATTGAATACATACCATCCAATACTTGAATAGTCAAAACATAAGTCTTTAAGAACTCGAAACCCCTCCCTTTTTAAAAAAATAGTCATTTGGTGATTCTTAGGCAGATCCCGAAATTTCCGGTTAAAAAAATTGTCCTAAGAGCTTTTTGGCCCAAGGGAGTAATTGTATGGTGCTCTTCGATAGGAGCATATCGTACATGGTACATATAAAAATAAAAGGAAATAAAAAATAAGTTAAATTTTAGCGTAGAGATAGTTAGCATTATAGAAAGACTTACCAAGTTCAAATCATAGTTAGTAAGTCATGAAATATAAATATATTAGTAAACAAAAACACTTAGTTTTGGTCCAAGAAGTCAGAGGCAAATGATTGAGGCAAACCATGGATTGCTAAAACCCAAGTAAGACAAAGAATAGTTAAATACTTTGGATTAGTCTGTGAAAAAAGGAGTGGGAAAATCATATGTGTAAATACGACATAAAATAAAAGTTATGATTTGTAAATTTTATAAGAATAAATCAAAGTCATTGAATAATATGTCTTTACGTAGTAACATTTACCTTCCTACTTGACAAATTCTTTTAGTCTTAATTTGTAATAAATACAACACCAATGCTTCCTCCACTTTCACTGCACAAAATATACAATGATTTTATTGGGAGTGCACAATGTAACGCCAATATAAAGCAAAATACAAAAAATTACATTAACCAATAATAATAATAAAAACTGTATCCCAAGGCATTAGACTACTGCTACAAAAAAGTCCATCAATAGATTATTGCAAATAACTAAACACAAAACCCAAAAATGTGAAACTATGGTTCATCCAAATTAATGTCTTGCATATGCTAATGAAACAACAACAAACTCAAGAAGGTTGAAACTAATTTTGCTAATTTTTGTCAACTGGCTTTTTTTGCCAACTTTCAATTGATCAAAAGGCAATTTGGTCAATTATTATTTGTTCTCTATATGTGTTTGATTATTACAGGACTATATATTTGGTGTAATGGGATTGGTGGTAGTAATGGCATAAAAGTAGTGTTATAGTATGACAGAGGTGGTAAATGCGATACGATGGTAGTGATGGAGTAGGCAGAAATAGTGGTAGTGGTGCATTGGTGGAGTGATGATCGAGGTTGGGTGATTGTATTGGTGGTGAGGCGGTGGTGGAGCAAGTATGTTGTTATAATTGGTAGGTGAAATTTATAAGTAGTCGATGGTCAAGCAAATATACATAATACTACTGATTATTACTTTTAGATATGATACTAAAACTTGTATTATCGAAAACTCGTATATTTTAAAACTAATGAATGCAATATCATCAAAGGTTTTATAGTATCTATTTCTCAGATGATCTCTCTCACCTCATTCTCTCTCCAGTGGGTTATAAAGTGGTAATATGTTTTTGGATTAGGGTTAACGATCTTCCTATATTAGTGGTAAATTAGTTTGAATGGAAAAGTATATAATAAGATTGTTTACGTGTTACACAAAACGATCTCAATCACTCATACATGTTAATGTGAAATTGGGCAAGTGGAAGTGTGTTAATTTCCTCATTAAATGTTGGACTCTATGATGCAACTCTGATTGCCCAATTATGTATTTTATGATCAAGAGTGAACTGTTATCAAGATCGAACTGGCCCTTGAATTGGTTAGGAGTCTTATACAGTCAAACCAATTTGATTTGGTTGGACCATGTTTTAAAAATAAAGAAAAATAAAATAACATGTTTGAAATATAAAATATATTACACTAAAAAGTTTGCTCAACTTTGTTTAGCTAGGTGAACCGGTTAAAATTTGATAGTTTGATTGGCCAACCAGTTAAATGTTAATTTTGTTTATTTTTCAATCAAACCCGATTTTTGCTTTCAATCATATTAGCCAAACCACAAGTTGACATTCTAGCCAATCAAACAAGTTGATCTTGTCTAGTCTTGATAGCAATGTATGAAAGATTTTGACCTCTCATATATTAGAATCCTTTTTAGGAAATAGGCTTGGGTGAAGACGGTAGATGCTAGGTTTTCAAGTTCCATTCCTGCATAACCTTGTCAAAAAAATGTATTAGAATCCCTTTTTATATGTTTTACAGACATCTTACCTTGGGCGGGAACCTACAAAATATAAATTCAACGATTTAAAACCCAAGTCCGGAGGTTGGATCAACGACCATCTGAACCGATCTGAATTGTGAACTCCAATTAGATCAGACCAATTATTTGGTGTGAGAATCGTACTAAAAAAAAAACTACACAATATATTAAAAATTTAAAATATTGAATATTATTTAAAAAAAAGGTGAGGTTTGTGTAAGGTGTCAACTTTAAACAATCACGGTAAGGTGCACCTCAAAATCTTGTTATAAGATTTATTTTAGGTGTCGAAACTCTTATGATCATGCTAAAATGTATTTTTAACCCCAATTATGAAATTGAAAGCACAAAAAATGGTGTAGATCTAACAAATCTATGACCAATTAAATATCTTTGACAATGGATGATATAAGATTATATGTTACAATATGCACTATTATTAATAATACTTAAAATTCGACTTTTCTTTCATTTATATATATATATATATATATCGAAATGGAGATGATCAATTGGAGAGTTTTATGATAACAAAATAACCTTTTATTATCACCTTACTTGTATAAGGTTGACACTTTATATAAACTTTTTCCTTAAGAAAAGAGATATAGGCGTGATCCTAATAAGTCACTCCTACCGATTCCCAATCCACATGACGATTTTTAGATATCAATTTAAGCAATTAAAATTTGGTATCTCCTCGTCTCACATATGGACGGTCTAAATTTGCATTCACCAACATATTGACGGTATACGGGCCTCCATCAATGTTATAGAAAAGGACGATTCACCCGTGTGAACCCTAGCAAACTATTTTATAAACAATTGATTCATACGGGGTGGAACGCATTTCGACAATATGCAGTCCAAAGCTCTAAAGCATCCACATTTTAAAGATGGATGCATATAGGTGGTCCATCTAAAAACAATTGTAACTAGCCGTTAATGATTTCTTATTATAATGACTATTTATAGTTTTATTTTTATTTTTGATATTGATGATCTCCATGTTAAAAATTATATATTCCCTAAGATCATATTATAATTAAAAAAGATATTTATTTCGAAGCCCGCATTTCTACAATATGCGGGTTATTGTAGAACCCTATTTTATTTGAGGGTTTGATTTCAGCGCAGTGGAAAAGACGTATTTTGCTCGAGAACATCACACAGTCACCATGGTACACTTCTAAACCCTATTTTTCACGATATCTTATTTTCTCTTCCCGTGACGATCTCCCATCCGAATCCTAAATTTGCAATGGTCTGTTTATTTTTGATTCCATAACCCTGAGTTGTATGAGCTGTAATTTTTTCCATTTGTGTTGATTGCTGCTTCAAAAGTCCTGAATTTTGTGGAACCCTAATGTTTGCTTTGTTGGCTGGTGCCAAGATTCAGCTGTAACGGATCTGAGAATATTCCATTGGAGAAGTACAATGGCATCACTCCAAAACTCCAATCTTCGAAACCGCTGTTTTTGTACAACTTCGCTGCGCGCTTTTTGACTAAAACTCCATAGAAGCCCACAAGACTATAATTTTGTTCAGTTTCATGTAGCTATTTTGTGTTTCTATTCATAGTTGAGTGTAAACGGCAGAATTCCTGGTTGGTTTGATAGAGATATTAGTAAGCTCGTCTTCTATGTGACATACATGATTTATATTTGAACTTTATTGGTCGCATTCTAGTGTTTTGAGCATAAGGTCTAGTTCTTTGACTGTTTAATTTTGTAAACTTTTATGTCAAGCTCACCTGTAAATTGAAAGACTCCGTCTATTTTTCATATAAATTAATACCATGCTTGAATGCTCTGTTTCTGCTCTGGGATTGTGTCTGGAATCTGGATACCAAGCTCAGTTATCTGAGAATAAAAGTTGATGAAGTATGTTATGTTCACACTTCTGCTACTCATTATTTTTGTGTAAATTTACAACTTGTCGTCTTTCTTTGATGGTTTTTCCCTTCTCTTTTATTCCTTATCCTCTCCCTAATCCCTTCCTCTGTGCTGGGTATTTTGATTCTTTTTGTATATCTTCCAATCACAGACTGTTGAGGTCCCGACATGTGGGTACCCTTCGCCACATTTTTTATTTATTTATTGATTTTTTTCTTTTGGTTATGTTTTGGCCTCGTAGAGCACTACATGTGAGCTGCCTTTCTCCCTTCTCGTGAGACACTTTGTAATAATTATTAGATGTAATATATAATCAAAATTTCAGAAAAAAAACTGAGTCTATAGACAACGTACTCTAGGAAAGCAGTTTACAATGAATATTACATTACGCTCTATTATATGTGGTATGTCCTAGAACACTGTCACCACCAAAGTAGGCTTTCCTTTTCTAGCTAACCCTGCAGTCTTCTAGTTTGTCTCTCATACCTAGTGCTGTATAGTAACTTGTAAAGAACTCAGCAACTCCTCTATCTCCAGAGAAATGTTGTGTAGTTGTCTAGGGACTGGTTCTCACCCTCTTCCAATGAAACCATATTTTTTGAGTCCCCTTATATTGTAATAATTTGCCAACTTTGATCAAATTTTGCATCCCTACCCTAAGGGCACAGGCTTCTGCTTCAGTTACATTATAATTGTGTAATTTCATGAGTAGGTCATTAGAATTTGACCCCTATGGCCTCACGGTGCCTCTAATGCCTCAGACCTAGTGAACTTCCATTGGAATTCAACTTGAGTACCTCTTCAGGTGGTGGTTTCCATTTCATTGGCTTTTTGTTTCTCAATGCTTTTGTTCTCATAATATTATCCCAATAATCATAATAATCAGCAACTGAATATCCCAAAACTCCTCAATGGTTCTCGGTCATAAAAGCACGATAGCCCTTGAGCTGTTCTTTCATTTTTCGACCTCTTTATTTGATCTTTAAAATATTATTCAATCCTTTCTAACCAAATCACCCAATGGATAGCTAGCATGATCATCCTCCATAGAATAAGAACATCCTCAGCACTGGTGGTGTAAACCACCGTACTGGTAGTGCCTCAAAGGATGAGGGTTCCACTCAAGTGCATCCATAAAGATTGAAAGCTAATGATCATAGTTGTTTAGCACACCTAAAACACAGAAACAGGTGGCCTATAGTTCCTGTGTCACATTTGCGCATTAAACAGATGCTACGTGTGGACATACCTCTGCTACTTAGGTGGTCAATCGTTAGCACAATGTTCAGAGTCACCAACCAAGCAAGTGCCCGAGACTTTGGGGGTCCAGGCATTGACCAGGCCCTTTGAACTATGCTATCGGCTTCTGTGCACCTTGTGAGGGTCTGATATTGGACTTGACATGGAAGACATCCTTGCTATCAGATACCCAGATAAATTAGTCTTCTCTACATGGTCATAGGAGAAGCCTTATACCTCATAAAGTCCTTGATTTCTTCCTTCTTCAATGTGTGTCTTAGGCAAGGGCTCCATGTAGTTTGATACCCATGACCTTCTGCGCATTCTGCCATTGTTACTAAAATCTATGTTGCTGAAGAATACAGCATCACATAGCGGTCTTTGCAATTTTGTTTGCCACACAAGAGGTCGCCCCAAAGCCTTGTTTCTCTCCATTGCTCACATGTACTCTAGTGTTGTTTACATAATGGGTTCTACAATTCTCCATCGCATTCCACGCACCTGATGCTGTTGCCTTATTGCAAACCATCCTTACCAGCCAACAATATTCATCTTTCCCATATTTATTTTCAATCACTTGTTTCCACAAATGCTTGATTGTGTGCCCAGTCTTCACTCCCATTTTGATAACAGTTCCTCCTAATTTGGGATCCCCTTTTCACTTCAGCTTGCATACATTCTCCCATCCGACCAAGTGCTTGTTTTTGTCTGTTGAGGCTCCCCATTAATATTCTTTCATTGCTTTTTCTTGTTTCATTTAATCAAACATTAAATATATAGATCAGTAAGCTATCTTTCTTTGCTTGCTCGACTCGTGGATCCAAAATTACTCATATTCCTTCCGAGGCGTCTATTGAAGGTTTGACACACCATCCAACAGGATTTCTGCCCAAACTGTTCTAATATCCTTATAGTCCAGATCTTTCTATTCTTGCATTTTCATCTCTCTAATAGCATAAACACTTCAGGTTGCAACTTGCATACAGAACGAGTAGCTGACCTCTTTTTTTTGGGGTCACCCAAACCCCGATATACCATGAAAAGATCTTCATGGGATATAATGTAATCTCTGTTATTACTAACTAGGAGTCGCCTACTCTCTGCCTCCAATTACCTTTTGGAGATATGACAATTCCAATCATAGTTAATATGAAAAGTTAGATTTCTCAACTACCGAATACCCTTACCTTTCCCCTTGCTAACCTTTGTTGCTTCTGCAACTAGCCCCTTCGCTTTCCATCCTTTCCTTTTATTCTTTGGCTGCATTGGCTTGTAATGCCCTTCGATATTTCATCTACTCTACCTTAAAATTGCAGCTGCACAACCTTCATCATTCCCCCCATGTAAGCCCAAGCTTGCATGATTCACATTTCCTTTTCAGAGTATATGAATAAATTTTGTCCTGAGATATATATATCTAATTGTATATATTATCTTCATACCAGCTCAGACTATCTAAGGCCATTTCTGCCTCTTCTTTAGCCCACGTCATTGTTATGACGGGCTGGGTGGCCACATATAGGAAGACAAGAATAATCATCACTCTCCACATATGATCCTGGCGCTTCCAGCAACCTCTCCTTTGCTATCTCCCGAATTTGATCGTGGGCCAGATGTGAGTAGCGTTCATTTCCAAACATTTTTGTCTTGATATGCTGGCTTCATCATACCTGAAAGCGAGCAATATTTCCATTCATCACTAGATCATCTATTGGTGCCATAGGAAAGTTGTTTATAATGTAATCTCTAAAGAGGATAAAGTTTCTTGTGAGCATTGTTTTTAAGCACTCTGCTTTGACCTTCAACGGTCTGGAGGTTAGCAAGTCTATTGTGGGGCCGCACGCCCCTGTGGAGTCAAGTTTTGAAGCCCTGATTTGATTATCTTATGGCTACTCCAGTCTCTATTTACTCAAATTTATCTTGTCAAGCCTTGATCCTGCACCACTCTCAAATACATGCCCTTTATGACAAGTTGCATCCCATCCCCTTATTTGTCCTATTTGTCGAGCCTTCTTGGGCCATAATTAGACTGTGCACCTCTCGCACATCTGGGCCATTCTCTTCTTGGCTATACTTTTCTCATTGCACCAAAGTTAGCAGTCCACCTCTGAACTTCCATCTAACCCGTTTAGTATTTCTGTTCCTTCCTCCTCAGAGCTCAGGGTAAAGTGGAAAACGCCATCCTCAATCTTCTTGCAGATTATGGGTGACAAGGTTTTCTTACTGCCCATTCTTTTGGTCCTAATAGATTGATTATTTTTTTGAACAAGCCATCCTTCACTTCTTTCAGAACTTGTACTCTACTCCCTTTGAACCCAGACCCAGTTTTTCGACCCTAGACTTCCTTTCTCTCAATGATGACCAAGCAGCCTGGCTAGAGTGACCTTTTTCTGAACCTGAGATTCTTAACGCAATCAAAGCCCTAGCAAGTGACAAGGCCCCTGGGCATGATGGTTTCCTGATTGTTCCCTTCAAGGAGTATTGGGATGTAGTCAGTCAGGACTTTATCAAATTCTTCGAGGATTTCTTCCATAGGGGCATCATAAATAAATCCATGAATGCCACTTTCCTTGCCTTGGTGCCCAAAAAAGGAAGAGTTGAGGAAATTAAAGACTTTTGGCCTATCAGCCTCCTCAACTCCTAGAAGATCCTGGCAAAGGTTTTAGCGTCCAGGCTGCAACTTGTTTTGCCTTCTATCATTTCTCACTCTCAATCTGCCTTTGTCAAAGGTAGACAAATTTTGGATAGGGCTCTGGTGGCCCATGAATGTGTTCATTCTAGACACATATCAAAACTACCAGGCCTCATCTTTAAAATTGACTAGGAGAAGGCATATGACCATGTGGATTGGTCAGTTTTGGACGCGACTATGGCCAGAATGGGTTTTGGGGAGAGATGGAGGAATTGGACGAGGGGTTGTTACTCGAACCCTCACTTTCCATCCTCATTAATGGAGCCCCTGTTGGCTACTTCCCCTCATCTAGGGGTCTCAGGCAAGGAGATCCCCTCTCCCCTTTCCTCTTTGATAGAGCGGCTGAAGTTTTTAGCTGGTCTTTTGCTCGGGTCTACCAAGCTGGCCTTATCACAGGTTTCAAATCTAGCAGACAGGGGCCCACTATCACTCACTTACAGTACGCAGACGACACTTTAGTCGTCCTGGATGTTACAACTAGTAAAGTAAACAACCTTAAGATTTTCCTTTCCTGTTTCCAATCTGCTATTGGTTTCAAGATAAACATGGAAAAATCCTGCATGTTGGGGGTAGCTTTATCACGTGGCCAGATTGGGGATCTCATTTCAGATTGGGATTGTAAAGTACAAAACTTGCCTACTACCTATTTGGGACTTCCCTTGGGTGTCGGTAAACCTAGAAAGCAGCTTTGGTCCCCTGTGTTGGATAAGGTCGATCGTAGATTGGCCGGGTGGAAGGGTACATACCTTTCCTTTGCAGGAAGAACCACCTTGATAAAAGCGACCTTAGCGAACTCCCCAATCTACCTCATGTCCCTTTACCATATGTCTGCTCAGGTGGCTAACCGCCTGAATCAACTCATGAGGAATTTCCTCTGGTTTGGGCAGGAAGACGAGAAGAGATACCACCTGGTGGCCTGGAATAAGGTTTTCCAACCAAAAGAGCAGGGAGGTCTTGGGATAAAGGTACTCTGCAAGCGTAATGCAGCGTTACCTGGAAAATGGTGGTAGCGCTTAGCCACTCAGCCGAACGCCCTTTGGGCGCAGGTCTTAAAACACAAATACAAGACCCCACCTGAGAATTGGCTCCCTGATAGGGTTCAAGCCCATAATACCTTGGGGAAACCCAACCCAGCAGGGGCTGGGGGTGTTTTCCGAGACTTTGAAGGCAATTGCCTCCTCACCTTCTCCGAATACCTCGGCTTCAAAGACTCTAACTTAGCGGAAGCCTCAGCCCTCCTCATTGCCCTCAAAAAATTCAACTCATCCTGGGGCTCAAGCTTGATTGTGGAGGGTGATTCCAAGAATGTCATCTCTTGGGCCAGTAGGACTTGTGATCCTCCTTGGTGCTTGCTACAAGTGTTTGACGAAGTTCAACAAATCTGCTGGGCTATGGACGTCTCATGGCAGCACACCTGGCAGATGTCCAACAACTTCGCGGGCCGGCTGGCGAAGGAGGGTGCTAGAAGACAGGGCGAGGCAGCCGACACTGGCTCCACTTTCTTTTTTGCTTTGGACCAGTGAACCCCTTGTAATTTTGTAGACCTTTTTGTTCTCATACTCAGTATACGATAGAAGGGGGGCATTTTTATAAGCCCTTTCCTTGCCTCTTTTTTTGTATATCTTTTATTGGGGGGGGAAGTCTTTTACTGTTCAGGGGTTTTTCTCCTTTTTTAACCGGGGCTCCCGTCTAGTGGGTTCACCCAGAGCTACAAACTTTGTACTTCCCTTTCTAAGCAATACAAATGTTAACATTTTTAAAAAAAATAGATGGATTATTGGTTGAGAGAATCTTCCTACTAGTCATTACCTAAGGATTCTTCTTTCTCAGATAATTGGGCTGCTAGCTTTTACTGTGATTTCATTTCCTCTCACCTCCGTGCTGCACCTCCTACTGCGTGCTTGCTGTGGCTTTGCTATTTTAATGCCCTCTATATATGCTCTCTACTTTGCTTAGACTCTGTCCCTGTTTGAATTTGAGGTTTATGTATCAGAGGAGGTTTACCTTCTTGAGGTGGTCGCAAGATGGTCCTCAGCTGCAACCTCCATACAAGTTGGGCTCTCCTTCTCATCTCCATCCTTTATGGTTGACTGCCACTTCTGAGTTTGTTGGTAACACACTAAACTATGATGAGAGGATCAAGCCCTAAACATATTGATGCTAGCACAAAGAGTCTAAGACTTCTGTTTGAAAGGGAAAAAAATGGATATGAACTAACTCGATGAAGTACAGCGATTAGTCTTTTGTTTTTTCTATTTTTTATTTTTAAGCATAAATTCTGCAGTTGTTGTTTGAGTTTGTAGGTAACCCTAATTTCTAGTATTGGTTAAACAAGCTTGTTTTGAAATGCATTTGAGCCAAATCTTCGCAAAATTTGGTACACAATGCTCCCGATCTAGGCGCTGGATTATCTCATCGGTTGTTTATCTTTCAACAAATTTCTTCTAGAAGTATGTGTGAGAATTTTCGGACCACACTGATATTGTTCGCTGAATATATAGACAAAATTGACATTTCTACTGCCTACTCTGATATTGTTAATGGGTTTTGTATGTCCAGTCTTTGATTGCAAATGAAGACTTTCAGCACATTCTTCGTGTGCTGAACACGAATGTTGATGGGAGACAGAAGATAATGTTTGCCCTAACCTCCATCAAGGGAATTGGGAGGCGCTTTGCAAACATTGTCTGCAAGAAGGCAGATATAGACATGAACAAGAGGTAAAGAAAAGTGATTCCTTTTTTTCTTTAATCTGTTGCATGTTAGTTTGTAAAGTTAAGATAAATATATTGATGTGAACTGGAATTGCGGTTTTTCTGTGTTATTGTTTTTATATGAAATTGTGTTATTATACTTTGCAGTGTCGGGTTATGGTTAACTGTCTGCGATTTAGTTTAATTTGGATTTCTTGTAACTTGGGAATCAAATCTGATATCATTCATGCCAAATATTTCTTTGGGAGAAAGATTGAATGTATTAGTATAATCTAGCTGTACAAAGATACAGAAATGGCACTCCACTATCTGGGTACACCTATACAAAAATGGCAACCCGCAAGTTGGGTGCTCAAAGCCTCAAGCAGTACATCAAATACACGAAACTGGGTTGAGCAACCCTCAACACACGAATCTTATCTGTTAACTAGGACTGAGAATCATAAGCTGTTCAAGCCTGCCCTTCTATGTTAATATGTTTCTGTTTGAGATCCATTTCTATAACTTCCATAGATCATACACAGAAGGCTAGTGTGACCATGCTTTTTGATGTACAGAGCGCCTGACACACCATTTTTTGGTACATGTTGGGTATAATTGTTCAAAAAATTACAATTCTTAAGCTTCAAAAAAAAAAGAAAAGAAAAAGAAACTGCCAAAATAACATCCCATTTTAGAGGGTTGTTTTGCCTTTGACATTTCAAATTTAATGACCAAGTTCTTTTTTTTTTTTCTGATCTTCAGAAAAAGTTCTGGTTTTTTTTCTTTAATCTTTAGGTTTGTTTATACACATGTCATTTCATGTTTTTAATGTGGAAATAATATTTAATGTCTTCTCGAAAAAATTAAAAAAAAAAAAAAAAAACTTGTGTCTTATCCATTTATTTTCTTTCCCTGTTTGGATTGAGGAGTTTTGGTCATATTCTAATCGTTCGAGTTGGGTTAGTTAAACCTTTAGATACGGGTCCTTATTTCGTGTATGGCTGATACATTCTCATATGTTGCCTTTAATTTCTGGGTCATTTTGTGATCATTAAATTAATTCATTTCGAGGTAAGATCAAGTGGTGTGAAGGCCCATTTGTTTGATGCGTAAATATCTCCATACCTCCTATTTTTGCTGCCTATTTTTTAGGAGACCCAAAGATTTAGATTATTTCTGGCCTGCAAAAGTCTCTATGTTTTCTATCTTCCAACCCCCTCCCTTTGATCATGTATTATTGTCCTAAACAATGTAGAGAATGACTTCCTTTCATTCAAAAGCTAACGCCCCGTTAACCCCTTAACCTATGTTGTCTCTTTGTCAAAATTGTCTCTCTCTCATAACCCAATCGCAGAGCCGACCCTCCCCATCGTCTCTCTCTCTATCAGAACTCTGTCTCTCTCTCTCTCTCGCCCCTCTTTCTCTTAAATACCCAAATCGCAGAGACCACCCTCCCCATTGCCTCTCTCTTCTCTCCCTCTCTATCAGAACTCTCTCTCTCTTTCAAATACGCAAATCGTAGAGCAGATTTGATTCCCAAATCTCAAATTTGGAGAGTGCTTTTTGAGAGAGAGAGAGAGAGAGAGAGAGAGAGAGAGAGAGAGAGAGAGAGAGAGAGAGAGAGTAGTATTATTAATTAAGTTAAGTTAGTTAGTTACGTTACGTTCGTTAGTTAGGTTAGGTTAGGTTAGGTTAGTTAGTTAGTAGTAGTAGTAGTAGTTCGTT